AGATATTTGTGAGTATAATGGAATTTTGACTAGAGGAGGAAAGAGATACTTTATCACTTTTATTGATGATTGTTCTAGATATACTTATGTGTATTTACTTAGAACAAAAGATGAAGCCTTTGATAAATTTAAAATTTATAAGGCTGAAATTGAGAACCAAAAAGACAAGAAGATCAAAATGGTTCGAAGTGATAGAGGTGGTGAATATTTCTCAAATGAATTTGATGCTTTCTGTGAAGAGCATGGAATTATTCATCAACAGTCAGCCCGCCCCTTTTCTCAACAAAATAGATTGGCTGAAAGAAAGAATAGAATCTTTACCGATATGATTAACTCTATGCTTCTTAATTCTAAATTGCCTAATAATTTATGGGGGGAAGCTTTACTTACAGCATGTCATGTTCATAATAGGATTACATCTATAAAAATACATGTCTCTCCATATGAAGTGTGGAAAGGAAGAAAACCAAACTTGATGTATTTAAGGGTGTGGGGCTGTCTAGCCTTTTATAAAATTATTAACCCTAAATCATCAAAGTTAGGCGCTAGAGGTATTCGAAGTGTTTTCGTAGGTTATGCTGAAAATTTCAAGGCTTATAGATTATTGAATCTAGATTCTAATGTTATTGTGGAATCAAGAGATGTTGAATTTGTTGATAACAAGTTTAGCCTTGATTCTACCATTGAATTAGAATCTAATGTTAATCGACCATATGTTGACATTCCCGGTACCTCCACTAATAAAAGGAAAGAGTCTATGACATCTTTCGAACCGAGAAGAAGTCAACGTGAAAGAAAAGAAAAGAACCTAGCACCGGATTTTATTTCATCTCAAGCTTTAACCTTTTTGGTTGAAGGAGATAGAAATGGTGTACTTAATAAAATACCATTGTTGCTTAATGTAGAGGAAGATCCAAAGACATTTAATGAAGCTATGACTTCAAGGGATGCCTCCTTTTGGAGAGAGGCCGTGAATGATGAAATGGATTCGATTATATCGAATCAAACTTGGATCTTGGTCGATCTTCCTCCGGGATCAAAACCAATAAGCAACAAATGGGTGTTTAGGAGAAAGTACAATACCGATGGGTCTATACTAACATTCAAAGCTAGATCAGTAGCTAAAGGCTTTAAACAAAAGCGTGGTATAGACTATTTCAATACATATGCTCCGGTAGCTAGATTGACATCCATAAGAGTGCTATTTACAATTGCATCGATATGCAATTTGCATGTGCATTAAATGGATGTTAAGACGGCTTTTTCTAAATGGTGATCTTGATGAGAAAATCTATATGGAACAACCCGAAGGGTTTGTATTACTTGGAAATGAAAAGAAGGTTTGCAAGTTAGTCAAGTCACTTTATGGTTTAAAGCAAGCACCAAAACAATTACATGAGAAAATTGATAATGTCATTTTATCTCATGGTTTTAAGCATAATAATGCTGATAAATGCTTATACTCTAAATTTATAAATTGTTTTGGTGTGATAATATGCTTGTATGTTGATAACTTGCTCATTTTTGGAACAAACATGCAAGGGGTAAATGATACCAAGAAATATCTAATTTCACAATTTAAGATGAAAGATCTTGGTGAAGTAGATACTATCTTAGGCGTAAGAGTGAGGAAGTATAGTGGGGGTTACTCGTTGTGTCAATCTCATTATATTGAGAAGGTGCTTCTTAAATTCAATCATTTAAAGTTTAAAGAAGCAAATACCCCATATGATTCTAGTATTAAATTACTAGAGAATGCAGGCAGAGCTGTGGCACATCTTGAATATGCTAGTGCGATCGGTAGCTTAATGTATGCTATGTATTGTACAAGACCCGACATAGCATTTGCGGTATGCAAAATGTCTAGGTTCACGAGTAACCCGGGTATCGAACATTGGAATGCAATTGGACGAGTACTTGGTTATCTTAAAAGAACCATTAACTTGGGTTTGTCATATAATGACTATCCGACAGTACTTGAAGGGTACTCGGATGCAAGTTGGATAACAAGTGCAAGTGATAATAAATCTACATCCGGGTGGATTTTCACAATTGCAGGAGGAGCCATCTCTTGGGCTTCTAAGAGACAAACGTGCATAACTCACTCTACGATGGAGAGTGAGTTTATAGCACTTGCCGCTGCAGGCAAAGAAGCGGAATGGCTAAGAAATCTATTGCTTGCAGCTTGATATTGAGTTGTGGCCACAACCGATGCCATCTATTTCTTTGTACTGTGATAGTGAAGCTACTCTGTCTAGAGCTTATAACAAGGTTTATAATGGAAAATCTATACATATTAGCTTGAGACATGAATATGTTAAACAATTAATAACCGGTGGTGTTATTAATATTGTATATGTTAGGACAAACAAGAACCTAGCGGATCCTTTGACGAAAGGTCTTTCAAGAGACTTAGTCAAAGAAACATCTAGTGGAATGAGACTGAAACCTTTCTTTGAAAGAGTCACCAATGATGGTAACCCAACTATGCAATAGTTGTACCGCTATTCCATAGTTAAATGGATAAGAACAAATTATTGTTATGTGACCGGGTTAGCACCGAACTTTTATTAGTCCCTTCCAGGATATCGGTGCAAAAATAGCTACGTGTTTGAGGTTGAGTTTATACTCTTAATGAAGTTCGAGTCTCTTAGTAGCTAGAGATATAATTCGAACTTCACCTAAGTGAACATAAGGAGTGGTGTCGTTCCTAACAAGACCTTAGTTTAGTCTTGTAAATGTTCATGAATCCAAGATAGAGCACAAGGCCGGAATAGTGCTAAACGATTGGAACAGTTTTGAAATCTGGGATAACACTTATGTGATATATTTCCGGTATTTGCTTAAGAGACAAAGTTTAATGCAAAGCACACTATTGTCTTGTGAATACTTTGAAGTATAGTCACTAAGTAAAGGTTAAAATCGAAAGATACCTTCATGTATGTATGTGTTTATCGTTGTTAATTCTGAAGAAATATTACAATCTAGTGGGGGATTGTTAGAGAGATTATAATATATCTCTCAATCTTGATATCACAAATTGGATTAAAACACATTCGGGAAGAGTGGGCTGACGCAAGCACGCGCTGCAACGCGCTTGGGCGCTGCAGCCTGCGCAAAACAGACCTCTCGGGGCATGCGCGCTGCAGCGCACAGAAGCGTACGCTGCAGCGCGCGCCTGCGCGCTGCAGCCTGCGCAAAACAGACCTCTCGGGTCTGTTTTGCTAAGCCCGCGCGCTGCAGCGCAAATTGTCGACGGAAAATGTGTTTTCGTGTGTTTTAGTGATCTGAAAAGGTCTCGAACTATTGCATATATTTGTGATATGTTTTCTCACATATCTGAGTACTTATTAACAATAGAAATAACTATTGATATAAGTGCATAAGCATATAAAAGATAACCATCAAATTGAAAAAGTATCTTTATGTGAAAGGTTGTAACACTTAAAGAGGATGGATGCATCTCTGTCTTTATAAGATGGACATCAGAAAATACAGATATATAATTGTTCTGGAACTCAATATTTTTGCTGGATATTGTGTTCAAGAGTTTGTTGTATCTTGGGGGTAATTTACAATTTAGAACTCGTTAGCAAACTTTGAGAAGTGAGGGCAAATAAAACCTTAAAGAAAAGTATTCCTATACGCCTCAAACCCTTCTTTCTGCATTCTCTATTCTTTTCATCCTCCTAATTCTGAATTTTTCTCCAACATATTATTAGAACTAAGAAAAAAATATTATTTTAAATAGGTTACGATAAATGAATAATTTATCAATTTATCAGTAAATGAATAATTTATGAGTTTATGAAAAATTTATGTTTTTTATTACTTTTTTTACATGTACATTTTCTTTTACCAAGATTTAAGAGTTATAAATAAAAAAATAATGGTATGTGGTCAAAACTTAATATGTGTACAGACATTATTAAAAAAAATTAATTGTTGTTATGTACATGCAAAGAAGTCCAAAATTAATGTATATTGTACGTACATTTAACATGAAGGTTAATATGTACTTGTATATACAATAAATGTATTTTACAAATTTAATACCGTGAAAGATGAAGTGTTTTAAGATGTTAAAGCAATAATAACCTTAAATAACTACTTCCTACAACATGAAAAAATTGTCAGATGTAGTGCATGTTTTGTAAAAAATTAAAGACGAAGTTGAGTTCAATTTAGGTACAGAGAAAAAACAAATTATTTTAGACACATATTTTGTAAAAGAATTGAATTGAGAAAATAAAAGTTGTTAAAAAATTTATATTTTCACTTCGCTCTATAGAATTTGAAAAAAAAAATTATTTTTTGCATTTAAAAAAATTATTAATTTAATAGATTGACCTAAATTGAAACCAAAAATTTTAATTATTTAAACAAGATAATTAATTTAGGCCACGTTCAGTTTAGCGATTCGAGTTTTCAATTCGAGTTGAGATGCGACTTTATATGAGAGTTTTTACTTGTAGTAAAAAAAATTTAATGTGATTTTTTATGAGAACTTTTAACTGTAATAAAATTAAAATTAAAAACTCAAATCGATAAAATAAATGAGATCTTATTAAATATTTATTTATGGATATTTTACTGTACTCACTTTCTTACTACTACTAGTACATAAATTATTTTATAATTAATTTGCTTCATTTACACATTGGCATCATCATTGCCATATAAATCTGTCACTTCTATAGGTGATGAATTGGAGATAAATCCTAAAAGTTATTGCATTTCTTTTAAATAATTACCCAAAAAAAAAAACAGATGTAAATCTTAAATTTTTTTTATTAGAGAGATATTTAGTTCATAAATTAAAATTATGTGATTAAAATTATATTTAATTTATGTATATTTTTTATAAAAAAAAATACTGTATAACGAACTATAAAACATAATTCAAATCATAATTTGAATAATCCCAACCAAAATATCCCCTGAATCTCAAATATAAACCCGCGCTTTTGGACAGCGGTTCAACTTCAGGTAGAGTTTACCCAAAGCCCAAAGGGATCAAACTCCACTTGCAGTGAGTCTACTCCTTTGCATTTTACAGCACGGAAATCGGAATCCATGGCCGACCAACTCGAGCACCATGAAAACCCTAGCTTCTTCATCGCCGTTCACGTAGGCGCCGGATTCCACGCGCCTTCCAACGAGAAAGCCCTCAGGTCCGCCATGAAACGCGCTTGCCTCGCCGCCGCTTCAGTTCTCCGCAAGGTCTCCTTCTTAATCTCTCTCTCTCTCTTCCTGTTTGGTAAGAAAGAAATGGAGGGAAAATTTAAAAAGAAACAAAATCACGATTATAAAACTCAAGCTTCTGTTATTTGATCATCACTTTTTTTTTTTCGCTCTTTTGTTGTTTAGGGTTCTGGTAGATGTGTGGATGCTGTATCTGCTGCTATTCAAGTATTGGAGGTAAATCTTCGAATATGTATATTTCTTATAATCTGGAATTTATCGAAGTGTTTTATTACCGTCATTTCTCACTTTCTATATTCTAGTAGACTCTACAGTTAAAGAACTCTATTTAACAAATAAATTCGATATAGGATGATCCAAGCACCAATGCTGGCCGAGGCTCCAATTTGACGGAAGACGGGCACGTAGAATGTGATGCTAGCATTATGAATGGTGATACCGGAGCATTTGGAGCTGTTGGAGCGGTTCCAGGTAATCTCATGGCTGAATATTTCATGATTTAGCGCGAATGATAATGTTCTTGTGTCATTATAGTAATTGGTTTGTCTTTCTGATTTCATTTATCCTTTCAGTACCCTTGTTCTTATTTTAGTTACTGAACATCCCCCGCATATTTTCTAGACCAGGTGTGAAAAACGCCATTCAGATTGCTGCTTTATTGGTAAAGGAGCAAATGATGGGATCTTCTTTGTTGGGCCTAATACCACCCATGTAACGTTTGCTCCCCATTTAAATTTGTTGGACAATTATGAATTTCTATTAAATCATTGTTTGTATTTCCTTTCATTGTTTTTTCGGTATCCCTTGAAAAATTATAGGACTGGTTCTTCTAATTTTCACTCTCGTATTTCATCTTATTCCACTAAAAAAATTTTGTGTATGACTGACAAAGCATACGTGCTTTTGTTTTCAAGTAAAGCTTTCTATCTAACATTTTCATGACAGAACTCTGATAGAACCAACTTCTGATGAAGAAAAAATAATCGATGCCCGATTACATCTTCTATGCTTGCGAATAACAAATTTATAGGCGTCGCTATTCATTGTTTCCACTTCTTAGCTTTCTCATAGGGGAAATTTTCTCTTTTCCAGGTTCTTGGTTGGTGAAGGTGCCTGTGAATGGGCGAAATCCAAGGGTATTTCTGTGCTGGCAACAGCAAAAGAGGCCAATGAGGTTAGTCCTTGTACAATTTATTTCCTAACTTTGTGAGCCAATTATTTAGTTTTCTGTTTTACCTTTTATGAGAATTCTTGCTAATACTACGTTAATGTTATCAAATATATCTTTATAACATGTTAAAATTTTCATGTTTTAACGGGAGGTTTTCTCCTACATCTTAGTAGTATCAATTGATCTTGCTTATCTTGAAACAGTGGCTGGTGACTGAAAGGGCCAAAGCACAATGGAAAAAATACAAAGCAATGGTCAGTGATGCAAAAGCCAAGATGGAGAACTCCTCTATTGAACATCAATGTAGTCCCCAAGGGACTGCTGCAAAGTTAGGTATTGAATCATTATTTATTAGTTAACTCTTCAGCTCTTGTGTTTGATAGGATAGCATTATTTTCACTGAAATTTTTTTCTGCATAATTTTTTTTTTCCCCTTCTGGTAAAGGAAAAGGTTATGTAATTCACCCACCTCTGCACTTAGCATATGCTACTTGTATGCTATGCTGAGTCCTGACCTAGGAATAGCTAGACGACATAGTGTTGTATGCTATGCCAAGTCCTGACCTAGGAATAGCTAGACAATTCTCCAAGGGTTTTGTACATAATGTTTTCCTGGTTTGTTGTCGGCTAAATGTTTTTCTTATCAAACCATTGTCCATTCATCATGTTGTGCTTTTACTTGTTCAATTCGTTGTTTTTGGTTGATATGCCAAGATTCTTATTTATAAAACTCGTTTAAGTAATATTTTTGTTTCTACTTATTATACTTGCACGTTGTTTTAGAAAAGGAAGGTCAGCCATTTTATCCATCAAAAAGGGATGTGCCTGAAGAAGATTCCATCATGGACACAGTCGGAGTTATTTGTGTTGACACTGAAGGACATATAGCATCTGGAGCCTCGAGTGGGGGAATCGCTTTGAAGGTAATAGCTTATATTATTTGATATTCGGGTTCGCATCTGTTTTGGAAAACTTACATCTCTTTTTGTTTAATTAAAAAATTACAGGTCAGAGGACGTGTTGGATTAGCAGCAACGTATGGTTCAGGTTGTTGGGCATCCTCTAAAGGTCCTTTTGGAGCTCCATTTGTAGTTGGCTGTTGTGTGAGTGGTGCTGGTGAATATTTAATGAAAGGATTTGCTGCTCGAGAGTGCTGTGTCTCTTCATCCATGTATGTTTGGCTTCATTGATTTCACGAATGTGTGCTTCCTAGACTATTAAGATAGCTACTTTCTCCATCTCTCTAAGTTGGGTAATGAAATGAAAGAATTTTTGGCAAGAAAAAGATATAATGTGGAAATTTTGCCTCTGCTTATCCCTATATAGCCCTGTATGTGTAGCTTACACAGTTTTATACAACACTTAGTTCACAGGTTGGTCCTGCCTCAGCTTGCAACAAAGTATTACGGTCTTTTGTTCAAGATAGCGATCATAATGGTACTGACAAGAGTGCTGGTATTCTACTTGTGCAAGCGGACACTCCGGTGGTGAGTTTCCAAGTCCTTTCCTGACTGGAGCTTTTTATGTTAGCTTGTCTCGAAAAACTAATATAGCAGATCTGTTAGACCTCCGGTACGGAAGGTTTATGTTAGGAGGGCCAAGAGAGGAATTGAGATGGGCCCAGGCCCAAATGAGATGGATCAGGAAGGGAGCGTGGCAAGCACGAAGGGCCCATATGGGAGGTGCGCGAAATTGGTTAGAGGATCGGTGGTTATATGGGGAGCATCGAGGAAGGGGAGAGGTATCGAATTTGGTGCTGGAATTGATCACTGGGAGGTTGTGGGATTCCTCGAAAATCCCTTTTTATCTTTCTTTCCTGTATTCTTGCATTTATGGTATTCTTCCTTCGTTTTCACTATCTTCAGAGCTATGATGAAGCTCTTGATGTTATTGGAGTAATTTGAATTCAATAAAGAAGGCTATTGCCACTTTTCAGTCAACTTTTGTTAGCTAAATTCAACAGTAGTGACTAGAATCCTAACATTTGGTATCAGAGCCAGCGATCCATGGCTCACAGTGCGACGGCAACAAGCACCACGGAGCGCATCTCTGGTTTGGAGGGTGACCTCGAGTTGATCAGGGAGACAGTACGTTTGATGGGAGCGATGGTGGATCATGTACCGCAGCTACAGGAGGACGTGGAGGCCTTGGGAATCCAGATCGGGGACGTACAAGGGTCCTTTCTCCGACTAGAAACTATGCTGGGTCGCCACCTTGAGGCCCAGCCGCCGATGCCCCAGCGGCGGGAACATGGACGTGACCGGGAGCGGCGGATGCAGAACGAGTCGCCAGAACGGGGCCGCGGACGGACAGATCATCGGGGAAGACGACTTGAGCTGCCAATATTCCAAGGGGACGACCCGTATGGTTGGGTGTTCCACGCAAAGTGTTACTTCGCCATTAACGGAGTCGAGGAGGGGGAGAAGGTAATGGCTGCTTCGGTTTGCATGGAGGGAAGGGCCCTCAGCTGGTTCCAGTGGTTGGATTCACAGGTGCCGTTTGCCGGTTGGTGTGACTTGAAGGCATCTATTCTCCACCGCTTCAGCCGCACGAAGGACGGCGACCCGATAGAGAGGTTGATGGCGCTGCGGCAGGACAGCACGGTGGCTGATTACCGCAACCGCTTTGAGCCTCTGGCAGCGTCCATGAGAGGTATTCCTGAACCTATTTTTCGTGGAGCTTTTCTTAATGGGTTACGGGAGGATGAGGGCTGAGGTTAAATTGCATCGGCCCATTAACCTCCATGAGTTTATGGATCTGGCCCAACAAATTGAGGATAGGAACGAGGCTGTAGAAAGACTTAGGAAAGGGAAGATGGGCCGGGGGTGGAGATATGAGGAATTGGGGAAGGGTATGGGCTTGAGTGAAAAGCCCAGCCTCGTTCTAGGATCTTCTGGGAACTCCCTTCAGTCCAACTTAGGAAAGGAGTCGGTTCCCACCCACCGACCCCGAGTGTGGCCCTCGCAGTAGACAGGGACCTTAGAAGGGGGTGGGGCTGGTTTCAGGAAGCCTACCGATGACGAGATTCAGCACCGACGGGCCAAGGGGCTGTGTTATAGGTGCGACGAGAAGTTTAGTCCAGGGCACCGATATAAGAATCGGCAGTTGCAGGTGCTGTTGGTTTCGGAAGAAGACGGAGAAGATGATGAGGAATCGGCAGAGGCGGTGGAGCCACCCACAGAAGAGGTCGAAGGGGTGGCAGGCCTCTCTCTCAATTCATTGATAAGAATTTCATCTTCTAACACCCTGAAGCTGAAAGGGACCATTGGAAGTCGCGAGGTGATGGTTTTGGTGGACAGTGGGGCTTCACACAATTTCCTATCTCTAAGGGTCGTGAGAGAGCTGCAAATTCCCATGGCAGCTACGGGTAGCTATGGAATTCAGGTAGGCAACGGCGCCTGTTTTAAACGACAGGGAGTGTGTAAGGGGGTAGAGCTCAGGATCCAAGGGTACAAGGTTTTAGGGAATTTCGTTCCCTTTGAATTCGGGTGTGCTGAGGTGGTTCTGGGGGTAACATGGCTACAAACGCTGGGGGAGGTCAGGGCCGACTGGCAAAAGTTTACCCTGAAATTCAAGTCGGATGCGGGGTGGATTTGTTTAAGGGGAGACCCAACGTTGAAGTTGGAGCCAGTGAGTTTACGGACCCTATCCTGGACATTCCACGGGGATATGGCAGGGGCATTTTTGGAAATATATGCACTCGAAGGAGGGGTGGGTGACGAGTTCCAAGCCAAGGAACTCGAGGCTTTACAGGAGGTCTTGGCCCAGTTCGCTATTGTGTTTGAGGCACCGAATGGTCTACCGCCAAACCGGGCACGGGATCACCAGATCGTTCTCAAACCAGGGGCGGAACCGCCTAACATTCGGCCGTACAAGTACCCCCAAGTGCAGAAGAGCGAGATAGAGAAGCTCGTGGCTAAAATGTTGGCTTCTCGGGTCATTAGGCCGAGCAGTAGCCCTTTCTCCAACCTTGTTCTATTAGTTAAGAAAAAGGACGGAAGCTGGCGTTTTTGCGTGGATTATCACGCCCTTAACCATCTCACGATACCGGATAAATTTCCAATTCCCGTCATCGACGAACTTTTGGACGAATTACATGGGGCGGCAGTATTTTCGAAATTGGACTTGAGGGTGGGGTATCATCAAATTCGAGTCAGGGAATTTGATGTGGAAAGGACTGCATTCCGAACGCATGAGGGGCACTACGAATTCTTGGTCATGCCGTTCGGTTTGAAAAACGCCCCCGCCACGTTTCAAGCGCTTATGAATAAGGTTTTCCAGCCTTACCTGTGCCGTTTTGTATTGGTATTCTTTGATGATATCTTGGTTTATAGCCACACTTGGGAGGAGCATCAGGAGCATCTCGTTGCAGTCCTGAAGGTCTTAAGAAATGAGCAGTTATTCGCAAACCGGAAGAAATGTGCATTCGGGCAGCAACGACTGGAGTACTTGGGGCATGTGATCTTGGCCGCTGGGGTGGCGGCTGATCCGGCTAAGATAGAGGCCGTTGTGGCTTGGCCCACTCCCAAGAATGTCCGTGGGGTTAGGGGATTTCTGGGGCTAGCCGGTTATTACCGGCGATTCGTTTGCAACTTTGGACAGTTGGCGAGACCCATGACCGAACTACTCTGACGTGGAGAGTACAAATGGACTCAGGAGGCAGGGGCCGCATTTGACGCACTTAAGCATGCCATGACCACCCTGCCGGTCCTTGCAATGCTAGATTTCTCGAAGCTCTTCGTGGTGGAAACGGACGCCTCCGGCTCGGGTTTGGGCGCAGTACTAATGCAGGAAGGGAGGCCCATTGCCTTTTTCAGGAAGGAGTTGTCGGGATCTACACGGCTCCAGTCAGTGTACGAGCGCGAGCTCATGGCAGTCGTTTTGGCTGTACAAAAGTGGCGCCACTACTTGCTGGGGTGCCACTTTGTGGTGAGAACCGATCAACAGAGCTTAAGGTTTCTTATGGGTCAACGGCTCCTACCTCCCGAACACCTCCGCTGGGCCATTAAGCTTTTTAGCTATGATTTTGAGCTGCAGTACAAGCCGGGAGCGTCGAACCGGGTCGTTGATGTGTTGTCCCGGCGCGGGTAAGGCGTTGCGATGGAGTTGACTGCCCTGTCCATACCGCAACTAGTAAACTGGTCTGTGATTCAGAAGGAGCAGCGGCAAGATGAGGAGTGCGTGGCATTAATTGGTAAGTTGGGTAGGGGTGAGGAAGTGGCACCCGGATTCTCATTACATCAGGATCTCTTGTGCTACCAGGGCAGGGTCGTTTTACCACGTGGGTCACCATGGATACACAGGTTGTTGCACGAATTCCACGATTCTGCTTTGGGGGGACACTCAGGTTTTTTGCGGACATATAAGCGTGTGGCAAACAATTTGTTTTGGCGGGGAATGAAGGGAGACATCTGCGCATATGTGGCTAACTGCTCTGTTTGTCAACGCTCCAAATCAGAGGCCTTGGTTCCTGCGGGGTTGCTGCAACCATTGCCTATTCCGGTGAGGGTGTGGGAGGATATTTCCATGGATTTTATATGTGGCTTGCCTCGGTCCCAAGGTATGGACACTATCCTAGTGGTAGTAGATCGACTGTCCAAGTACGCTCATTTCTTGCCACTGTCTCATCCATTCACAGCCAAGAGAGTGGCTGAGGCGTTTGTTCGAGAAGTGGTAAGACTCCACGGCATCCCATGTTCCATCATCACAGATCGAGATCCGCTCTTCATGAGTCTTTTTTGGCGTGAACTGTTTCGTGCACAGGGCACTCAGTTCCGCTTACCACCCTGAGTCCGATGGACAAATTGAAGTTGTAAACAGGTGTTTGGAAGTATACCTCCGTTGTTTCGTTAGTGACAAACCTCGCGCGTGGCTCCAGTATCTGCCGTGGGCCGAATTTTGGTTCAATACTACCTGTAATGCTTCAACGAAGCATTCCCCATTTCAGGTGGTCTACAGGTAGGAACCACCTACAGTTTCCAGATTCCAAGATTCCCCCTCGGCCGTAGAGGATGTTAACCTGCAGCTTCAACAACGGAATGAGTTCCTGGACGTTCTCAAGGGACATTTGGTGCTGGCTCAGCAGCGTATGAAAAGGTTTGCGGACGCTCACCGCCGAGAACTGTCCTTCTCTCCGGGGGATCGTGTTCCTTCTCAAGTTGAGGCCCTACCGCCTTAAATCCTTGGCACGGCGGCCGAACGAGAAGCTGGCCCCACGTTTTTACGGACCTTTTGAGGTCCTGGAGAAGATAGGCGAGGTAGCATATCGCCTATAGCTACCAATTGGCGCTCGGATTCACCTGGTTTTTCACGTTTCTCAGCTGAAACCATTCAAGGGTAGTGACCCCAGGTGTCAGCCACTCCCACCTTAGCTCTCGGATGCATTGGAGCTGCAGGTTGAACCTTCCGAGGTCATCCGGGGCCGGTGGACCTCCTGGGGTGGGAAGCAAGTGGCGGAGATTTTGGTTAAATGGAAGGGACTGCCGGATTAGGAGGCTACGTGGGAGCATCTAGACGTGTTTCAGGCCCAATTTCCCCACCACAACCTTGAGGACAAGGTTGTCTTCGAAGGGGGCAGTGATGTTATACCTCCGGTACGGAAGGTTTATGGTAGGAGGGCCAAGAGAGGAATTGAGATGGGCCTAGGCCCTAATGAGATGGATCAGGAAGGGAGCGTGGCAAGCACGAAGGGCCCATATGGGGGAGGTGCGTGAAATTGGTTAGACGATCGGTGGTTATATGGGGAGCATCGAGGAAGGGGAGAGGTATCGAATTTGGTGCTGGAATTGATCCCTGGGAGGTTGTGGGATTCCTCGAAAATCCCTCTTTATCTTTCTTTCCTATATTCTTGCATTTCTGGTATTCTTCCTTCGTTTTCACTATCTTCAGAGCTGTGATGAAGCTCTTGATGTTATTGGAGTAATTTGAATTCAATAAAGAAGGCTATTGCCACTTTTCTGTCAACTTTTGTTAGCTAAATTCAGCAGTAGTGACTAGAATCCTAACAAGATCTTTCTTTAGGTTTCAGGAAGTTTTCTAAAGCTGAAAGCCGTAGAGATAGCAGCTGCTTATTCTTCTTTATCCTTTGGAATTGGCTATTTTGGAAGCTCTATGGAGCGGCCCAAGGTACTAATGGATGTTTGATTTTTTACATTAACAGTTGTAATTTGTCTGTTTTCTTTTGTCTCCATTTCGGTTTCTCTTTTTTTGAGAAAGAAAGTTTACTTGATAGCTTTATTTGTGGCTTAGTTTGGATTTGAAGGAACTTATGTAATCCATCAAGAATTATAATTGAAATGATAATCCGCCAACCCCATGAATATGATTTAGACGGCAGCGGGGTTGTGCTTTCACACTCTTCACTGCACTCTGAAAAATACTTGCTAAGTTATCAGTTCATCCTTGTTCCATCGCTTTTATTTTATTTTATTTTTTTTTGACATCCAGAAATCCTCAAACTCACTTTATGAGTATCACTTCTATAGTTAAATTAGGTGCTCTTTTAATTGTCAACATATTGATCTCTGACAAAACTGTAGCAACCATACTATAATTTACAAATTATTTATTTATTTATTCAGGTTTCAATCCCAAGGCGTAAAGAGCAAAACAGGACAGGGATAGACCATTTTGAAGCACGAATTGATCTTTCTGGTGAAAGCTGATGTGAATGCAACAGTGTGCATATAAAAACACTGCATTGAGTGCATACTGTGACCAAAATTTTCAGTTCCGTGACGGATGAGCTAAGCTTGATCGTCCATGAATCAAGATTCAGCAATATCTGATGTTTTTTCAAGAGATCGGACATTACTGTTAGTGTTACAATGGATTTGACTTCATATGTTAAAGCAAAGGTCATATTTGTTGCGACGACTGCAGAATCTTAATGCAGAAGCACCCTTAATCAGATGGATTCCTTACAAGCTTACTGCTAAAAAATTGAACGATTGTACTTCAAGAGGCTTCAAATTGTGAACCAAAAAAAAAAACACTAGTCATACCAATGTCAAATGATTTGATTAAATTTGTTGTAGCTCTTCACAATTAATTCAACCTTTTGTTTTCGTTTGAGATGGTTATCTTTCTATTCAGCTGGTCCGATCCTCATATTTACTCCATGCTATTGTTGTACTGTAAGTTTGTTATAGTGTAACCGCAGTGATTTTTTGATTCATTTGGCGGAAAATAACTGAATCAACCCAGTTTCTCTATTAAAAAAAAAAAAAATCTGAATCAACCCAGTGACGTAAGCTAATGAGATAACGACAAAACCTCATCAGTGTTTAATCCTTTTGGGATGAAACTCACAAGTGTTCAATCAAAATGTAAGAATTTACTGGAATTATTAAAAAAAAAAAAGAAAGAGAATTTACCCGAATTATAAAAAAAAATAGAGAATTTATCGGTGTTTTTTTTTTCTTTTTCTTTTTTTTTTAAAGATATTATCTTACGTTTTTTTCCCTAATAAAAAAAATCACCGTTGTGTTTTATCAATTAGACAAAATTCAACTCTATTGTTAGAGACTTTGGGAAGAATGGAAAGGAATTAAGATTCATTCTCATGTTTGGTTGGTTTTAAGAAAAAGAATGGCCATTCAAAATGGAATAACTTTTCCATCAAATGGGTGAATCATCATTCTTTCCTCATATGAGAGGAATGCCCATTCCAAGCTCTTCTAATTTTCTTTTCCATCATTGCCTTTGAATATTATAATTATTATATTAATATTTATAATATGATAGTTATAATAAAAATTAAGATTTTATTATTTTAAATATATAATATTATAATTATAATTAGATATTATATTTTATAATATTATAATTAAGTATTTATATAATTACAATATAAATTTAATATAA